CAGTGTGTAAATGTTCAAGTTTTTGAATTGGTTTTTATAGTCTTTGGGTAGATACCTAGGAACAAAATTGCTGAGTCCTAAGGTAGGTCCATTTTTAGTGTTTTGAGGGTCCTCACACCTCTTTCCACAGTGGTTGGACCAGTTTGCATTCCCACCAGCAGCGTGAGAGGGTTCCTTTTCCACCACATCCTTGCCTGCATTTGATTTTTTGTTTGTTTGTTTGTTTTTAATATGGGCCATTCTCACAGGTGTGATTTTTTGTTTGTTTGTTTGTTTGTTTGTTTGTTTGTTTGTTTTTAATATGGGCCATTCTCACAGGTGTGAAGTGGTATCTCATTGTAGTTTTGATTTCCCTGATAGCAAGTGATGTTGAACAATATTTGTTCATATGTCTTTTGGTCATCTGTATTTCTTCTTTGGAAAGAACTGTCATTTTAGCTTGTAGTTTACCATAGTCCCAATTGTTCACATTTTCTTTTGTTTTCCTTGCTGCTAGAGACAAAGATCTCGCTGAAGCTTATGTCATGAAGTGTTTTGCCTATGTTTTTTCCTTGGATTTTATGGTGCTGGTCTTCTGAGTCTTTTACCTATCTTGAGTTTATTTTTGTGTATGTTGTGAGATAGTGGTCTAGTTTTATTCTTTCGTGAGCAGCAGTCCAGTTTTCTCAGCACCATTTTGAAAAGGGTTCCCTTGGTTCAGTGTATCTTCTTCACCCTTCTGTTGTACATTACTTGTCCAAGTAAGTGTGGGTTTATTTCTGGGCTTACAATTCTATTCCATTGATTTGTGTGTCTGTCTTAATTATTATAGTTTGAAGCCTGGAAGTGAAATACCACCAGTACCTCCATTTATTATCAAAATAGTTTTAGCTATTCAAGGTTTTTGTGACTCCATATGAATTTTAGTAATGTTCAGACTATGTCTTTGAAAACATCATTTAAACTTTGATAGAGTTTGCATAGAATAGGTATAATACTTTGTGTAAGATGGTTATATTAACAATATTAATTCTTCTGATCCATAACAAGGATGATTTTTCCATTCTGTTGTGTCTTCTATTTCTTTTAACAATGTCATAGTCTGAGGTGTTTAGTTCTTTTGTATTAATTGCAAATTGAATTTTTTCTTGGTTTCTTCCTCTTTTAGCTCATTGTTTGCATATAAGGAGGCAGCTAACTTGTGTACTGATTGTGTAGTCACCTGTTTTGTTGAACTAATGTATTGTTTCAATTAGTATTTTAAAGAAGTCTTTAGGGTTTTCTTTGTATATTATGGCATCTGAAAATCCTTAAAATTTTACTTCTTTCTCAGTTTGGATTCCTTTTAAATCCTCTTGCCTATCTATTCTACCTCGGACTTCCAATACTATGTTAAATAGTAGTGATGAAAGTAGCTATCCTTATTTTGTACCATATCTCAGTGGAAGGGCTTGCAGTTTTTCGTGATTGAGAATGATAGGAACTGTGAGTTTGTCATATACAGTCTGCATCACACATGTTCTGTTTAGTCCCAGTGCATTTTCATGATACATTGACGTTGAATCTTATGAAGTGTTTTTGTTTCATATCTATTGATATGATCATATCTTTACTTTCTTTTTAATCTTTACTATTTTTTTTAAAGATTTACTTATTTGTGTATACATAACTGGGTTATAGGCCAGAAGTGCAGGGGCGGTGAGAAGATTCACCAGAGACAGAGTGGGGAGCAGAACAAGCAGATCGTTGAAGTACACTGCTGAGGGGAGCAGCGGGAGGGCCAGGAGAGGTCTGCCGCGCCACATGGTCACCTCCAGGGTGGGGATCGAACTCATGCAGAAGTGGCTTTAGCTTCTCAGTGCTGTGCTTCAATCCGGTGTGCCACCAGGAAGGGCCCTACTATTATTTTTTAATCTACTTTTTTTGAAGTGGTGAATTACATCACTGATTTTCAGATTTTGAATTTGAACTATCCTTGTGTTCCTGAAATAAATCTACTTCATCATGGTATATGATGCTTTTAAGACATTATTGAATTAGGTTTGCTAAGATTTTGTTGAGGATTTTTGCATCTATGTTCATTAGAGAAATTGTTCTGTATTATCTCTAAATTTTGTTTGTTTATCTACTTACTAGTTCCTTAATGTGAAAGATATAGTACTTATTTGAGCTCTTTCTTGTTTATTGCTATGACCTTTTTTTTTTTTTTTTTTTTAGTACTGTTCTTGCTGTGTCTCACAAGTTCTGGTAGGTTGTGTTCCCATTATCATTTGTACTGAAGTATTTTTTCATTCTTTTCCTCATTAACCTAATAGGCACTCAGTAGTGTTTTTCACTCTCCAAATAGTAGAGGTTTTTCCTGAATTCTTTTTGTGGTGATTTCTAGTTTGATACCATTGTAGTCAGAGAAACTTCTTGGTGTAATTGCAATCTCCATGGACTTATTGCTACTTGTCTTGTGCCTAAATATGTGGGCAATACTGGAGAATATTCCATGTCCACTTGAGAAGATCGTATATTCAGCTTTCTGGGGTGCAGTTCCCTATAAAGGTATATTTAGCTCACTTGGTCTGCTTCTTTGTTTAAGGTTATTGTGTCATTATTTTCTGTCTGGTTGATGTCCACTGCCAAAGTGAGGTGTTGAAGTCTCTGGCCAGTGATGTGTTTTTCCAATGTCTGTTTTCAGACTTGATAGCAATGACCTCATATGTTTTGATGATCCTTTACTTGGTGAGTAAATATTAGTGAGTCTTGATGTATTGTTCCCTTAATAATTATAAAGCATCCATCTCTGTCTGTTGTTAACATTTTTAGCTTGAAATTTATGCAACAGTACATTAAAAGTTATACATTATGACAAAGTGAGCTTTACTTCAGAGACACAAATTCACCATATGTAATTCGTGTAATTACATATGTAATGTAATTCGCTGTGTCAACAAAAGGAAAGACAAAAATCATACGATCATATCAATAAATGCAGAGAAAGCATTTGACAATATTCAGCCTTTATGTAAAATGGGGGCTAGAAGGAACAGACCTTAATTTAGTAAAAATCACATGCCAAACCCACAGCTAGCATCATTCTCAATAATGAGAAATTAAAAGATTTTCCCCTAAAATCAGGTAGATGGCAAGGATGTTCTCTCTCTACTACTGTTCAATGTAGTGTTGGAAGTCCTAAAAAGCAACCAGACAAGAAAAAGACATAAAGTGAATCTAAACTGGGAAGGAAAAGTGAAACTATCACTATTCCAGATGATGATATACATAAAAAACACAAAGGACTCTACCAAAAAAACTACTCTAGTAAATGATGCAGTAAAATAGCAGGATAAATAAAGTCAATAAACAAAAATCAGTTTTACAAGTGCAAACAATGAAATAAAGCAAAGAGAAATTAAGAAAACATTCCCATCTATAATTGCACCAAGAGGATGAAATGCCTGGAAGTAAACTCCACAGTAACAGTAAAGGACCTACAAACTGAAAACTATAAGATATTATCAAAGGAAATAAAAGAAGACAAAGAAATGGAAAAATACTCAAGATCCACGGATATTGTTAAAATCGTCATGCTACCTTTACAGATTCGATACAATAACATTTTTCAAGGAAATAGAACAAACAGTTCTGAAATTTGTAGGAAACCACAAAAGATCCTCAATAGCCAAACAATCCTGAGAGAAAAGAAGAAAGCTGGAGGTGTAATCTTACCTGATTTCAGGCTACAGTGACAGTAATCAAAATCATATGGGTTTGATTTGATCTATAACCTCAGTATGGCCACCCTGCATGAGGACTTTGGCAAGGTCAAGAAGGCTTAGAATGGTGCTGTCACATCTGTTGGGTAGAACATTCACATTATCTCATTGAGCTTCAGAGGTAGCTGGGGGGAAAAAATGTATGGGTTTGGAATGACAATAGAAACTAATAGAACAGAGAGTCCAAATGTAATTCTCACACTCTGAAAAAATACGAGTCACCACAGAGGACGGAGAGGGGAGAGCCCGAGGGGGTGGCAAGGCAGTGGTATATTGGCACTGGATTGTTGATGGAGGATAAAACTTGTGCACATGGGAAGCTGTAACCCCAAATTAAATAGTTGTGTAAATGCTTGGCAAGTCGATAAAATGAGAAAAATAATCAGCCCTGATTAGTGCCAGCCCAAGCTCAGGTGTGCCTTCCCAGGCGTGATCAGCATCTGAGGGCAGTCTGATGTAGTCCACGGTGGGTTCTGTTGCCTTCCACCCCTCCCTCCTAAAAATATCTCCAAATTAGGGAAAACGTGCGTTTCATACCCAGAGCAAAGGTAACCAAGTGATTCTCCCCTTGCCTTGCTTCTTGGGCCAGCTAGTTATTCTGATAATCTACAAGTGTTAATAATCTTGTAGCGTTACCTACCACGTGCTGAGCACGGGGTACTTTCATTCTATTATTTAATCCTCTCAACGATATAAAGAAGAGCTACTTCCAATTTAGAGATGAGAAATGGGATGTAAATATTTGAGAGGCTGCTCAAAAATGCGGAAGGACTGTTCCATTCAAGGCTTCCAGCCCTTCAAAGCCACATCACTGTGGGCAGGCAGGCGCTGACTGAAAGGACTTGAAAGACAAAATGGGTCTAAGAGGGGACTAACGCCTAAAACAGAACTATGTGGGTTCTGCTTGTCTTACAGCAGCTGGGTCTCCCCACTTCCCAGAAGCACTCCGAACCCCAGTGTCCCTGTCCACAGCAGTTCATTCCCTATGGAGTATTTTCCCAAGCTTTTCTGCCCTTCTCGCTCATCCCCATAAAGTGCACCAACCCTACCCAGTCCGCCCTGTAGAGTCCACAACCCCCTGGGTTTTCTCCCGGGGAGGTGCGGGTTCTCGCCTTATCGGGGTCCCTAGAGCACGCCCACTTGCTGGGCTGGCGCACTGGAGCAGCTCGCTCCAGTTTTGTGTCCGGAAGCGCGCTGAGGCAGCCGTTTCCTAGGCAACGCGGTACACAAAGGCTACCCGAGTGGCTCAAGGGAGAGATGTCCTTAAGGAAGAAGAGTGAGGAGGGTTGCTGCAGTAAAAGAGTGGGGAAGAGAGGGCAGAGGGGACAGTGGGGCGTTTGGGAGAGACGAGGGGGCTGGGGCCGTGACCCAGCGCTCCCCGCTTGGAGATCGAACTGGTTTCCTTTATGACCTTGTCCTCTGCCTTACTGCCCCAGACCTCGCCCCTCCCTAAACCTGCTCGCTCAGCTGGACGGGTCTTTACTCATGTGGAGTTTCTCCTCTTTCTTGATCTTCAGAAAGGCAAATTAAGTACCCCTTTGGATCAAGCCAACACAGAAAGATCTTTCCTGCTGCCCACCCCCTAACTTTGTTGGGGCACAAGTTCCTTCCTCTGAGAGGAGCTCCCCACAGAGGACCTGGATGCTACTTTTCAGAGGATGTGAGTATTCACCTTCCCGAGGTGGGTCAGAGTTCCCTGGCTAGCTCAGCATACGGAAGTTTCATGGAAGAAAAACTATCTGAGTTGTGGCCTTCAGGGTCTCCTGCAACCAGCTGTCAGAAATTAAAAGACCATTGCTTCCTTCCCTTCATACCCCTACCAAATGCAAGCCGTTGCTTCATCCAGTCCCCATTTGAGTCTCTATTCCATTTCCACCTGTGAGGATATGTGAGCCAAGGCTAATCACACATCAGTCCAATCCGGGCTGTTGGCCTGCTGGCAGGTCAGTTGATGAACTAATATAATCAGAATCACTGTTGCATCAGAACAAATTCTGCTTTGCGGGCTCAGATAGGTAAATGAACCGCAGTGCTCACGTTTCCTCTACCCGTTAACCCGTTATGGGCCACTTTGCTTTGCAGATGTCCTTGTGTTACCCATGCCACTGTGTGGTCTTGACTAGGTCAAAGTTGGTGTTTGAAACAATGGGTGAATGTTGTGGAGAAGATGGATAGGCGCATTTAAGTTCACTCTGATGGTTCACATAATGTTCTTGATGTTTTTGTCTTTTTTTTTATAAATATATATCACCTGAAGAAAAATGGCTTGGCATACAACCTCTCTAAGATTCCAACCAGTAAAAAAGGATATACATGTGGAGCCAGAACAGCCATGAGGTTTAAGCCAATTTCCAAGGTTAGAAAAGACCGAATGTTTTTAGATTTTAATATGATTTGTGTTGCTATGTCTTGGGAGTGGGAGGTTGCCTAAGGAATGCGCCCTAGAATTAAAGAAAACTCGATATTCAACCAAAAACTATGAAAAAGCCGATCCCAAAAGTTTGGGAGTTAACAGTGCAAATGTGTGTGTGTGTGTGTGTGTGTGTGTGTGTGGGAGTTTCCTGGGACAGTGGAAAACAATTCCTAGATGAAATGCTACCAAGACAGGACTTTGGGGCTGAGGTTAGCATGCTAGAACCTTCGCTGATATGCATCAGCTTTCTCTTGTTGGTTAACAAATGTCAACCTTCTCATTCTCTTGAGTGACTGAATTCAAATCTAAACATCTTCAGCATAATACAGCCTAATCTCTTGTTGGATATTTTGCTGACACTTAAGATCAAGGGCTAGGGATACTGGCTCTCAAAATATGAATGGGACGGTAAGGCGTAGCAGCTGCAAGACGTTAGTGTGGTTCTCCAGTTACTCTAGGTCTGTTTCTATAAGCTAAGCATCATCAGCTAAGGGAACTTCCCTTATCTCGGTTTTCTACCTACTGTAGGCCTATTTTTATAGCTTGAGGTGGTTAAGTCATAGTTGATAAAAACAGGAAGAGACCTGTGTTTTTTCTTAGAGGCTCTGTGTGTGTGTGTGTGTGTGTGTGTGTGTGTGTGTGACCTTGTATTATAACTTATCTTTTTCTTGTAAGCAGGATGTGACACCTTACCCAGGCATGTACCAGCCAATGTATCCTCGGGAACAAAAACACAAACAAAGTTTTGCTCCATTTAATACCTTGTTGCCTCGATTTAGGACATACTCAAAGGACGCTTGTCATCCTTGGTACGTCTCTTTCTGGTGCTCTTTAATTTAGAATAATAGGGAAGAAAAAGAAGGGCTTTTACATATAACCCATGGAGACGAAATAAGGAACGACCTGTCTTAAAAGATTGGACTTCTCGCCTTCCAGATCTCTGACATTGTAGAATTTTAAATCTTAGTAGTCCATGCAAAAAATATTTGCCAGCATGCAAGGTAGCTATATAGTTTGCATGAAGCCTAGCACAGCAGCTTACCTTCTTGGAGCGGATATTCTAGAGTCCAGACAAATGAGAAGCAAATAAACAAGAAAATGTCAGTGATAATAAGAAGAGTAACCATGTCACTCATTAGACTGTGACACTTCTGAAAGTAAAAGGGGACTTTCTGAACAATTATACCTATTCAGTAGTCATAAGCTAGGGCTGTGATGGGCAAACCAGGCAAGTAGGAAGGGAGTTTGCTACAAGGGAAAAAAGTAAGCTGGTCGTGTTGCTAGAGTGTGGTGAGCAATGTGAAAATGAGAACAGAGAAGGAGGGGCTGGGCAGACCTTGTAGACCAGGGGAATAGTCTGAGTTCTCTAGGAAGCCATTCAGGTGAGATGGAGATGGAGATGGAGGAGGAAAGTCAAGGCCTTCCTTTCACTGGTGAGAAATCCAAGGGTCAGAGAGAACAGAACTTTCTCAAGGGTTGCAATAAGAAAGTAAAAATGTGGGACTCCAAATGTCCACTCTTCTTATTTCCACTGCCGCAAAGAATCTATACCAAAAGAAAAAGTGTCATGAACTAAAGCAATTGATACAGTATTTCCATTGTCAAGAAAATGTAATTGGTTCTGCTTTGCTGTCCCTGAATCGCAAATAGATTCAATTGCTGTGGCACTTTATCCCCATTTTCAAATCATGGTTGTGGTCCATCTTTTATTATTGCATTGGGTTGCAGAATTATTTTTAAACTAGAACCAATTTTTACACTAACTGGCATCAAGTTTAGCTATCTTTACCATACTAACATCTAATGAGGAATACATTCACAGGCAGGGGGCCCCCTGCTTCCCTACATTAAAAAGCTAGTCAGTCTGTTACCCCTCCCCAAAGAGCTAGACTGAGTTCAGGGTCTGTAGTGTTGCTGCTGGAGCTCATGCTCGGTTACCTACTCACTAGACGTGATGTTTTGTGCTTTTGATTCTAGCCCTGGTACGTACAACCCAGAGAAAAAGTCACCCCCCAAAGTTACCTGGCCTATGAAATTTGGATCCCCAGATTGGGCTCAGGTTCCATGTCTACAGAAAAGGACTCTAAAAACTGAGGTAACACTGGACTTCTGTGGACCATTCCATGTAGTACTTTCATTGTATCAAGAATTCTTACCCACGGGCTTATAAATGGACTTCAGGAAAACCTGTTACCTGAAATTATGTGCACAGTTTTATGTCTCTGTGCATATGAGGATCTGTTTGGAGAGTTACACAATTTTATTAGATTGTTTAAAGGTGCATATGACCAGACAAGTCACATTTTCTTATTTAATCCTCAGATAATATTCTGTGGTAGATATGGGAGAATTACCCTACAGTAGTGGAGGAGAAAATGGGGATACTGGTGGACTGACTCGTATAGGATGCTCAGCTTGAACCCTAAGTTAGTGCTCTTTCCATCATATCACCCATGAGGTCATTAGAGAACAGAGAGCATTTTTTGGGAGGAGCTCGGATTCTGGGGGCAGACTTCTTAGGGTCACTGTTTTTGTTCTGTAATTTGGGGCAAGTTCCTGCATCTTCTAAGTCTTAGTTTTCTTGATGCAAAATGGATAGAACAGGCCGATCTAATATGGCTGTAAAGACTGAGATAAGTGCAGACAAAATTTAATACCGTGTTTATAACTTTGTAAGTGGTCAATCCACGTTTACTATTATATTTCTAGAGGTACCTTTTTGTTCCCAGTAGAACTTTGTGTTAATTCTACAGATATGGGTTAAATGCCTAATAGATTGATAATTATAACACTGTGCTAGGACCTTTGGTGACATTCAGGAATTAATATCTATAATCTTTGTTTCTGAGAAGAACTGACCAGGTGGAAGGTAATTCCTAACACAGCATATGCCACAGTATACAGGGAGCTGATGTGTACACAAATGTCAAGTCCCTAAGACTAGCTGACTGTGGCACTGGGATTTAGCCAAACCACACAGACATACTATATAATTCTATTTTGCACAACCAGGAAGACAGGCAAAGAGCTCTTACTAGAATATTGACCTTGACAATGCTCTTTCATGGCAGCTGTCCACAGATAAAGATTTTAGAAAGCATCGGAACCGTGTGGCCTACCTAAGCTTGTATTACGATTGAGGAGCCAGGACTACCCTCACGTGCTCCTCCTGACCACAGGATCTCCCGGATTGAGAGCAGAAGTCTCCCTCTGCGTTGCTGAGGCCCTCTTGTCTGCCAGCATGGGCCCCAGGAGGGGCAAGGGGCTCATGAGAACATAAAATCTAGTTCGGAGTATTCTCTTCTCTGCTGTTTTGTTGTCTTCATATATGGATGGGTCTGGGAGTTCCTACTGAATGTCCATTGGGGTGACTTCATTTCATTAAAGTATTCATGGATACCCAGCTTTAATGATCAGATATCTGTTTTATTATGTGTTCTGCCATTAACCCTGGTAACGGGCTGTTTTCTAGATGTATAAAGGATATGAATGGGACTTGGGGCTGCTCTCACTTGTATCTAGACTTGGAAATACAGAAGAGACGTACAGGCATGAAGGCATGTTTGGGGAACTCTCCCAAGTTCCTAAGTTCCCAACTTGGCGTGGGAAGGTCCTGATTTGGTTGCTTTTCTCAGATTGATAGGAAACTCTGGAATCTAAAATCCCTTTCCCCATTACATCTATGTAGTCTGGCTATCTTCATATATTCTATATTGTGTTTTTACCATGGTCAGCCAGAGCCAGAAGCACTTGGGATATGACAGGAATCCAGATAATGCACAGGCTGGTTCCTGAGACCTGGCCTGAAGAATAAGTAGGATTCTCTTAGGTGGCTGGTGGATTGTGTTGGCCTTCCTCATCTGAATGACTCCCTGAAACCTTAGAAGTTAGCCTAGGAGTGTAAGTTCAGAACTCTCTGTAGCCATATTCAAAATACAAAACCAAACACTCCAGCCTGGAAAACAGACCCCTTTCCAACACTAGCTAAAAAAAGTAAAGCCCTCAAGGGCATTAAGTATGATCTACCTCATCTTTCAATGGATCCCTTTTCATACCTACTTAGAAATTTTAGCAGTCACCAGAAAGTGGTGCATCTGCATGTGTTTGGATACCAGAGTGAAGAGCTGCCAGAAGCAGCATGAAAGCATACCCCACTGTAACTGCAGGGGCACCCCATGGCAAGAGGTAAGCTAGTGAAAGAGGCTGTAAGAGGTAAACCAGGTTAAACAACCTCCCCCCCCAGGCATGTTAATGCTGAAAGGCCTACCTCCTTAATGACCAAAGTTTTCTGAAGAAATAATGGTGACGGAAAAGTCTCTATTTGAAATCAAATTCAAATATTAATGATAAACACCTCTGTCTGAAAACTTACCCAGTACAAATGCTTGAATTGTTAGGGGGAAAGAATGTCCTAGATGAACTCTGCAGATACAGGTTCTGTGGGCTCCACCTCCTACTCAAGTCATTGAAACTACAACTCCACCCCCTATTCCAGTCACTGAAACTACAACTCCAGCAATACCAAAGGAAGGACTGCAAGGACCCAAGGGCGGAGCTAAGCAGCCATTTTGAGACTTTGGGGGGATTACAGAAGAGCTGTTAGGCTGTTTCTCTCTTTCCCTTGATCTCATGGCTGGTGGCTGGTGGCTTGGCTCTTGATGAGCTTTCAGTGTGTTGTTGGGGTTCCAAGTCAGCGGAACTGGTAGGATGCTCTAGTTAACTTGTATCTCTCTCTCTCTCTTTCCCTAGGTTGTTCCTTTTCCTTTCCTTTTGTAAATAAACCCATTATTGACCCTTTTTGTGTGTGCCTGCAGTTGAATCTTAAGCATGTGGGTGAGGGAGGACCCACAGACAGGCAACCCAGTTCACATTGGGTTGCTCTGTCACACTTTGAAGTTGATTTAAGGGTTTCCATTATTTTGTCAAGAAGAATTTATGATTTGAGGTATGTCAGTGTTAACACATCACCCATCACCCCACCCCTCTTCTTTTTCTCCTTTGTATCTAGTTACATACAGAGATTTTAGAGTAATAATTTAGCAGGCAGTATTTCTGCTGAGCCAGGATCTTGGACCCCCTTTTTAGGGGGTGCTGCTGGGGTGACAGAACCTGACTCACTCTACTGTTTGGTACCTATGCCCTTGGCTTCTCCCAGGGAAGGGCGCACTCTTCTCTAAAACAGAAGCCTCATTTGATGAAAAATAAAAATTTAATATAGCTCCAGTTAACCTCAGGCAACCTTTAACATGCAAAAGCTATATAGCTAAGTATCTGTACGCAGATACTTAAGGAAAATTACAGTGAATACTAAGAATAAAATATGCAGTAGGTAAGGTTAAGGAAGTACAGTTTCTTGTGAGTTTTAATACAGTAAAATCTTATCATAATGCTGTTTTACTAGAGAAGGACTTTCAGTGTGAACAATTGATATAAGCTATAGACTACACGGAATATTGGAAGATGTAGTTTGATAAACAGCACCAAAGAATTTGCGACAAAGAATTTTATCAACTTTCAATTTAAGGCCAAGTGCAACATTTGCAGTTCTGGTCAAAAACCAGGCCTTGGGCACAACTGGAATGGAAGGTCTTGCCTCCCACACACTGGTAGAACTTGCTTCTGTCCTCAGAGTCACTGTAGAGGCCATCAGCTTTGCCAGAACAGAAGCCTCCATTGCCTCCGCTGCCCCCACTTCCTCCGTCACCACCCTCGCTGCCGCCTCCGCCTTGACCCGCGCAGAAACCTGTGCTTCTGGGTGTGACTGGCCGCTTGTACCCGGCATTGGCAGCTGCTGGGGTACATTCTAAAATACAGAATGCACATTTCAGACCAGAATCCTAACCTGTTTTTGAAAAACAAGCTACAACCTTCTGTTATTAGTTTTGTCCTCAAAGAACTTGCGAGAAGCCTCGAAGCTCCCCTTGGGAAGAATGTAACAAGGAAACAGCATCCAAAGTGCTTTCAGGTGGGTGCTCTAGCCCAGGCTTCTGCTCAGGGGAAATGAGCCCAACCCTACAGCAGCCAGGATTTCACCCTGGGAGTGATAAACATTTGAGTCTTAGTAGAGGAGGCTTCTCTGCAGGTATTTCTGTCATCAGTAAGACATTTGTGGTTTTTCACTGTGTTAAAGTATTATGCTTAGATTGTTTATTTTTTTCTTGTCATATACTTTGTTCTATTTGTTTCCAGTCAGTGTTGCCTCCTTTGTCCTCTCTGTTTTCTCTGTCTCTCTGTCCTCTCTCTGTCTCTGTTTTCTCTGTCTCTCTGTTCTCTCTCTCTCCTCTCCCCCCTCTTTCCAGACATTTTGTCTTTCGTTTTACTCCACTAGTAGAAAACTCTTCCTTATTGTTTGCATTGAGCAAGTCATTTTATACTCATCTCTTATAGGTGTTTACAATTCTAAAAAGCAGTGATTCTGTGAGTTTCCTCAGTAGAGACAAGAAAGCTCTTCTTCCCTCCAGTTACCAACCTCCACTTGCATGATTCTCCCAGGACTTCTCAACCCAGGGGCACACAATGCCACAAGGGGAGCAGGGGTCTCTCCTTATGGTGCTCACCTGTGACTAGTCAGCTACCCAAGCCTTTGTTCCTGCTGTTCTTCAAGACCTGCCTCGCCCCCTCCCCACCAGAAGCTAATGGCAAAATGTGTACATTACACATGTGTAGTCTTCCTATCTTCTTATGTTCTATATTGAGTTTTTACCATGATGATCTAGAGCAGCAAGCACTGGGGATATGACAGGAATCCAGATAAACTCATGGGCTGTTTCCTGGGGCCTAGGCTGAAGTATTAGGAGGTGGGGAAATAGCTGAGCCACCCTGATTAGTTCTACATCAGGATCTAGTGCATGTCAGCAAGTGGGAAGGAGTCTAGCTTGGAGGTCAATGTCAGTCTGTGTATCAGACTTAGTTTCAGGATACCAATTCCTCTTTCCAGCCCCAATTTTCCTGAGCAGCAAGGCCCATTTTTAGGGTGTCAGTTTCATTCAAATCCTCGTCCGTGTTACCTACTAAACTTGAGCTGGTCCTTTGATTGAAAACTGGATTTTTTAAAGACACTTCCTATAGTTCTCTCCCTATTATCACATGTGAGGGCCTGGAAGTTCTATGCTCCCCACCCCTCTATTCACTCTGGTCCCTCTGCTTTACTGTGCTTTGTGTCTTGACCTGCATCTTCTTTAGAGCAATGTGTCTAACTCAAGAGTGACATACTTGAGGACAGGCCCAGGAGTGACTTCAGCTTGTTGATGAGTGGGTATTTGCCCTCATTGCAGAAGGAGCCAGAGAAGTCATCCAGGTCAATTGTCCAAACCATGGCCCCACCAAACTTGTTCTCCTTGAGAAAGTCAACCTATGGGCAGAAAGAGTATACTTGACAGTCATCATCAAATGGCATCTATGCAACAGAGGGAGTCTGGAGTGACAAATTGATTATGGAGAGAAAGGCAGATGGAGTGGACCTCTCAGTTTTTCTTTTATGAAAGGATAGGTATATGTGCTTTGTGGACCTAAGACAAAGTATTGGTTAACCCAGCTCTATTCCTGTTGTCCTCAGTTAATAAACTCTTGGGCCACAGTATATACAAAGTTAATATTTATTTAACAGGATTTTTCCAGGCTAAGCTACATTTTTACATTCATTATTTATTTAGTCATCACAGGAACTACCTAGATCTTTTGATTATTACTCTTTTACAGATTTGTAGGAGCCTATGGAGTTGAGGATTCAGAACCATGTGTATCTGCTCCCAAAGCTGAAGTTCTTAATCACTCCTCATAGAGCCCCCTTTTTCCTCTATGTTGATCACCTTTCTTCTGGCCAGGGTTCTATAAAGATGAACTGACAGTGCTATCCTATGGGAAGAACCCAGACACTAGATTAACTCTTGCCTTCGCCCCTTTCCTACTCTGTAGCCTCACACAAGTATAGCATCTAAGCTCTCAGCCTGCATACCTGTAAAATGGAGAACTGCTTTCTTGCTCCACTGGTGTTTAGAGAAACAAGTTTTAAAAATGCTTGTTCAGCATTTACATAAAAATGTTAAGTCATGTTCTCCTCCTCCTTTGAAGATTATAGTCAGGCCTGATATAAAACAATTTTCTAGATAAACTAGTGGAGACACATGCTAGGGAAAACTTGGCATTTAACCTTATTGGACTATCTGAGTATCTATTGGGATATTATGCTATCTGTTATACATTGTA